TGTGTGTCCAACTTGTCTGATTACAACTACATGTCTGTTCGTCCATCCATTGTAAAGCGCTGCAGAATTTGACGGTAATAATAATAATAATAATAATAATAATGGGGAAGGGCTCACCCTCCTCATTATCACCACTTTCCAACCATGGGGAAGGGCTCACCCTCCTCGTTATGACTACCCTCCAACCCCAGGGAAGGGCTCACCCTCCTCATTATCACCATCCTCCAACCATGGGCTCACCATCCTTGTTATCACCACCCTCCAACCACGAGGAAGGGCTCACCATCCTCGTTATCAACACCTTCAAACACCGGGGACGGGCTCACCATCCTCGTTATAAACACCTTCAAACACCGGGGACCGGTCACCCTCCTCGTTATCACCAACCTCCAGAAATTCTCCTTTTACCCATCTCAAACCTCACCTGCCCTAACGCTGCAACCTCCCTCTACAACTACACTCTCCTCTCAACTAGATATCGTGGCACCTCCTACATTTAAATGCACTAAGCGCCCCCAGTTATAACCCTGACCAGATATCTCCAAAAATGTTCCAGAACTGGTGAACACTGGACTGCAAGTCACTCTGCGTCTGACTTCCTCCACTATAAATTTAAGCTGAGCTCCTACAGTCGGTCTCTTTCCTCTGCAAAAGTAAACTCCTTTCATCACATAATCACACTCTCCCACAAGCCCAAACGACTATTTAATGCTTTTAACTCTATTCTTGGCTCTCTTGCTCAACCGGCTTCTCCTACCAACTTGACAAACATCGCAACTCACTTCACTGAGAAGATTTCTACAATTGGGGAAGAGATCTCTCATCTCTCTATCCCCTAACCAATTTTCCCCCCAAACCCAACTCCCTCTTCTGCCCTGTGGTCACTTGCACCCACCACCACTGCTTTTGACAATGTTGAATATTAGCAGCTTCTTCTTATCCTCTAATCTCGGTCTACGAGATACCGCTCTCTCCTGGTGCTCTTCCTACCTCTCAAATCGCTCTTTCAGTGTTTCTTTTGCTGGCTCTGCCTCTTCTCCCCAATCCCTCTCTGTTGGTGTTCCCCAAGGGTCTGTACTTGGTCTCCTATTCTCCATCTATAATGCCTCCCTTTGTAAACTCATCAGGTCCTTCCAATATTATTTCTATGCGGATGACACACAAATCTACCTGTCCTCCCCTGATTTCTCACCACCCTTCTTGACTCATGTACCTGATTGCCTCTCTGCTATTTCTAACTGGATTACTGTTCATTTCCTTAAACTTAATCTGTCCAAAATAGAACTTTTGGTTCTCCATCCCTTAAGTGTTTCCACTCCCTTGTCAGTCTCCCTCCAAGTCAACGGCGCTACCACCAGCTCTATATTGCAGGCTCACTGCCTAAGTGCTCTCTTCGCCAAATCCTGATGCTTCCATCTCAAAAACACAGCGGGCATCCACCACTATTTAACACTTGGGCATAACCCCCTCCAATCCCAGGAAAGGGCTCACCATCCTGGGCATAACCCCCTCCAACCCCAGGAAAGAACTCACCATCCTGGACATAACCCCATCCAGCCCCAGGGAAGAACTCACCATTCCTCTAACCCAGGGAATAACTCACCTTCCTGGACATAACCCCCTCCAACCCCAGGGAAGAACTCACCATCCTGGACATAAGCCCTCCAACCCCTGAACTTCTGAGCCTTAAATCACTAGATGATAACACAGTGCCTATATATGCGGGATTATTCCCAGTGTGGTTTCTGCATTGTACAGATAGAAGAAAAAAATGCACACTTGTTCTGATGTTAGAAGAAGAAGAGAGGGCTGGGATCTCACCTCAGGCTCTCCAGTGTTATGGTTTGTCTGTATTAGAATCTTTCCAAGTCGGATGTCCTTACAGACTGCAGTGAGAGCTTGCTCCATGGTCTCCCCAGCACGGAGAATAGACACCCCTGTTATCTATGTACAGGGGTAATAATTACATTAAGTTATAATACATAGAGTGCAAGCTCAGCAGCCAAGACACTTTACTGTATCTACCACCCAATTACTCTGCTTTCTTCTCCCCACCCACAGCACTTACTGTACCTACTGCCATCTTCTCCCCACCCTCCATCACTTACTGTATCTACTGCCATCTTCTGCCCACCCTCTATCACTTACTGTATCTACTGCCATCTTCTCCCCTCCCTCCACTTACTGTACCTACTGCCATCTTCCCCTCTCCCTCCATCACTTACTGTATCTACTGCCATCTTCTCCCCTCCCTCCACTTACTGTACCTACTGCCATCATCTTCCCTCCCTCTTTCACTTACTGTACCTACTGCCATCTTCTCCCCACCCTCCACTTACTGTACCTACTGTCATCTTCCCCTCTCCCTCCATCACTTACTGTACCTACTGCCATCTTCTCCCCACCCTGCACTTACTGTACCTACTGCCATCTTACCCTCTCCCTCCATGACTTACTGTATCTACTGCCATCTTCTCCCCTCCCTCTATCACTTACCTACTGCTATCTTGTCACTTACTGTATCTATTGCCATCACCTCCTAACTCACTCATTGAACTTACTACGACTCCCCCTTTTAACCCAATTAGTGTCTCTCCTCTTAGTTATCCAGTTACTGTATCTACTGCTACTGGTTCCCCTCATGGGTACTCACCCTCTGTTTGTGGATTCTCTTGCCCTGGTATAAAGTTCCCTGAGGAGTCTCCACAGTCACTGGCTGAAAGAGGAGAAGAGGTAATGACAAGCTGGTGAACGAGGCTAGGATTTCATGTTAATTAGTTACGAGTGACAGAAACAAAAAGCAGGAAATCATCCGAGTGCAAGGAGTAGGGGGCTTCCACGGTGGGAGCTGGAAGGTGCTTCTACTTACCTGAAGAGGCAGGAAGGAAAGTGCGTGTTCTATCAGCAGGCGCATGAGACGTTTGGAGTAAAATATAAACTCGTCCCGATTTGTGTCTTTATTTCTATAAAACCCAAAGGAGATGTGGTTAGAACAATTACAGATGCAATAGAGTAGAGCCTGCCAGAGCGAGGGCCTCACCTGATGATGGTGTGCATTCCCCGCACCTGAGCGGTATTCTGGAGAACACTCAGGGTCTCAGGCAAGGGCTGCCCTTGGTGAGCAGAGGCCAGAGCTGCCCTAAAATAGAGAGAAAGTGTCAGGAGCCAGAAAGTACTTACTAGACACACCAAACCCACAGCAACTTCTGGTAAATGTATCCCAAACAAAACGAGTGAGACAATCCTACACAAGTTAGTATGAACAGGTCCTATCTCTGGGAGAGCAGCCCAAGAATACTCCTCATTAGAAACTGACAAAAAACCTGCAGTATTCCGAGTAATCTCCATATCTCAGATTTCTTCCATCGTTGACACCCCACAGTGGGAGGGACAGACTCAGTGTCCCATAGCTCCTTCTGTCTGTGTCACCCTGCAGTGGGAGGGACAGACTGCGTGTCCCATAGCTCCTTCGGTCTGTGTCACCCTGCAGTGGGAGGGACAGACTCCGTGTCCCATAGCTCCTTCTGTCTGTGTCACCCTGCAGTGGGAAGGACAGACTGTGTTCCATAGCTCCCTTCAGAGTGTCACCCTGCAATGGGAGGGACAGACTCCGTGTCCCATAGCTCCTTCTGTCTGTGTCACCCTGCAGTGGGAAGGACAGACTGTGTTTCATAGCTCCCTTCAGAGTGTCACCCTGCAGTGGGAGGGACAGACTCCATGTCCCATAGCTCCTTCTGTCTGTCACTGAGATGTGGCACAGTTGTCGGTAGATGAAATAGAAAGCTGGATATATATGATATATATGATTAAGCCAGATTGTGAACGAGGTGGTCATTTCATAAAATACGAATGATGTTAATAAAAGGAAGACACACACTAATTAAAGAGAACATGCAGGTATAAATTTGAGAATGTCATGCCACAACTCAAAACGCAAGGCTACTACAGCCAGACTTCCAATAACACCAGTTTCCTTTGCAAGACAGAAGCCCCGGAAACAGGTTGTTCTGACCAGCAGGAGACAATAACAGACTGGAGTGTAACTGAGCCAGGACAGTCCACATTATCAGCACTGTATAGGCTAAACCCAACAGCATGCACGCTCAGCATTATTACACAGCCAAGACCCTCAGCCAACATCATCGTCAATCCTTCAGCCAGGACCCTAAGCCAACATCGTCGTCAATCCTTCAGCCAGGACCCTCAGCCAACATCGTCGTCAATCCTTCAGCCAGGACCCTCAGCCAACATCGTCGTCAATCCTTCAGCCAGGACCCTCAGCCAACATCATCGTCAATCCTTCAGCCAGGACCCTCAGCCAACATCATCGTCAATCCTTCAGCCAGGACCCTCAGCCAACATCATCGTCAATCCTTCAGCCAGGGCCCTCAGCCAACATAATCGTCAATCCTTCAGCCAGGGCCCTCAGCCACCATCATCGTCAATCCTTCAGCCAGGGCCCTCAGCCAACATCGTCAATCGTTCAGGCAGGACCCTCAGCCATCATCGTCAATCGTTCAGGCAGGACCCTCAGCCATCATCGTCAATCGTTCAGGCAGGACCCTCAGCCAACATCATCAATCGTTCAGCCAGGACCCTCAGCCAACATC